GGGAACCATGAGTCCACGACGCAGACTTTCACCATCTAAATAAACTCAGACCACCAACGTCCCATTTCAAGGTCATATCCTCTGGACAAGATATTTTACCAATGCATACGGAATTATTCATAAAATGTAATTGAATAGTTAATATTTTAATTTCTAAAATTTATCCTTATTTTATCCATGAGAGATGAATTGTTAACGAAAGGAAATTCATTCAATATATTCTTAAAATCATTTTAAATAAAAATATTAGTTGTTCTTAAAATTCATGTAATATTTTTTGGGTAGGCACAAATATCCTTTCATTATGGGTAATCTTATTCAATACATTCTTAGATACTAGATGTAGATATTTTTCTTAGTAAGAATTTAAATCTTATTTCATCATATTGTGAAGGATTAACAATTTCTGCTAGACCCAACTGCCATTGGTTTCATATAATATTTATGTGGATATATATTTAAAACATAAACCTGAATTTTTTTCACCAAAAAAAGAAATGGTAATTATACATAGATGGACCTTGTATCAATTGGATTGAATTTCAAATTTGGTAGTTTTAAAAAGTACAGTCTATATCATTAAATTTTGATCTAAATTGTTCAGATAAACCAGTCTTTCATTGGTTTATGATCATCCTTTGGATCCGATTTTCTGCATATGGGAAATTTCCAAGTAGCCCTTTCATGTTCCTCCTCCATCGTTGACGCTGAGGCGCAGGCCACGACAAGTGTTCGTCTTTAGACGGCGGCAAGGATGACCGTCTATTATATATTTTCTCCGATCTAGCAGCAACAACCTTCTTCTATGCTCCACCATAGCAAGTGATGGCTTCAGACGTCGATAAATGAGGCTTCTAAGCTCCTTCTTCAATGAATCTGATTTTTGATTCAATTTGACGAATATTCTTTCAATATCTTAACTTGAAAACTTTTTTTTCGCCAGAACTATGTAATTATTTATGGTTTCTTGGTCATGAACTTGTCCCATTTGTTATCGCTGATGTGGGTTTTGTGATGTGATTCTGAGTTTTAGGTTCTGTGTTCATTTTGATGAGTTTTTGTTAAGTTCTTTGAGTTTGCTGGGTTTATTTGTGATTTGGGTTCTTGATGACTTGTGGAGGGAGTTAATATGATCAATTGGAGTTTGATATTAATCCATTCTACATTTTACTTCCGTGAGAGTAAGTTTCAGTTGGGAAGAAGTAGGCATGGGAATTATGATATTTTTAATATTTTTGGCTTCATTTTCCTATCTAATTTTTATGTACGAAATAAAAATCACATTAGATTCCATTGATATTTTTTGTCATACTATACGCGTTTTTAAAGTCCATTTAAGTTCATCTTCCTTTTTTTTTTTTCTTTTCCCAATTCCAATTCCTTTCTATCACCATTTTCATAGAAATTCTCCACCGAAGCGTACGGGCTTATGATTTGTTTAGAAAACAAACAAAACATAATAGAGTGGTAATCAATGGCTGGCACACCCAAAAAAAAAAAAAAAAGAAAACAATGGTAATCAATGGCGCCGGAGCCGGAGCATCCTCCAACGATTTTGACCATTTAAATTGATTTTGAACAATTTAGATTAATTTATTTTTTAATATTTTTATTTTTAATATATATGGAATTTAAAGTAAAGATAATTTTATAACTGAATTTTTTTTAAAAATTATATATTAAAAATTTTAAATAAAAAATATTTAGATCAAGTTGATAATATCCGTTAAGTCTTTTTAATCACAACACTGATTATATACAATGAAAAATTCAAATAATTATATAAGGAACTTGATGTAAGGACTAAAGATTACTCCTCTGGTCTTATTTATAAGGGGAAGAGAGAAGATATTTTTTAGTCGTATTTATAGGGTATTGAAAATTTTTTTTGTATAAGTGCATAATTTTATGCTTCATTTGTTATTATGGTTGATTTTGTTTATATAAGTTATAATGTATATTAAATAGAGATAAAGTTAAAAAAATTATTGAATTTTAATGATAGTTGATGAAATTTAAGGTTTTTTTTAGTCTGCGTAAAATATGTTAAGAGCGACTTATAAATAGAACAGAAGAAGAATATGTAACTATTATGGACTTTAGATTTACAGGATCCAAATCATTATTATGATGAATTCCAAATAATTAAGGGACCGTTGTGGGATTCATGGGTAGATAGTAATTACATGATAATGAACCGACGAAGACTTCCAAGTCAACCCTAGTTGCCCCAAGCCGCGGGGGACCATGATGCAGACTCTCATAAATTCTGGCCAGAACGTCCCATTTCAAGGTGGGGACACCTTCTCCCATCAAAATTGAAAAGAGGGGCCGAGGAGGTGATGGTAGAGGGAAGACAAGGGAAGTGAAAAGTAAAATGGGACCTTTATAATTTGGGGAAATTGAACATAAATCCTCATTTAAAAAGTTACAATGAGACTTAAACTTTTGAGGTTCTTGTGGAGAATTAAATATATAATTAGAATCAATAATATGTAATTAGACCCTATATGCAACTAAGTATACAATATGCAATTAGAATTAAGTATATACAATTTTGAATCAAGAATATGCAAGTTGGGATATTTAGGTTTTTTTTTTAACCCTCCAATTTATTGTCATCTAAAGTTAGGTCATATTTTATAATTAACTTTTCAAATGGGGATTTATCGCCAATTTTTCTAAAAGTCAATCATAACATTATTTTTATTTTAAATTTTTATATAATAAAAATAAAAAAAATTTGAAAAAAATTAAATTGAATGTTAACCGTCCAAAACCAATCTAAATGATCTAGGTTAAGATGAGATGAACATGATGAAGTGCATGCTCCGCCATTGAGTCCCAGTCGATTGTTTTGTTTGTTCTTTAAACCAATCATAGCCGCACTCGCTTCATTAGAAGAATTTCCACGAAAATGGTGATAAAAAAATCGGAACTGAAAAATAAAAGGAAAATAAAATTAAATGCTCATCGTTGCTGCTGTCTAAAGACTACCACTTGTCGTCGCCGAAGGAGGAAGATGAGGAGGCTACGTGGAAATTTCCCGTGCAAGAAAATCGGATTGAAGAAATGTTTTAATTGTTGGGGGGTTTTCTGAATCCACACCGCTTATAATGACTTAGCTATCATTGACGGCAATTTTTCTTTCCGTCGACTTCGGTGCGCGGTATAGGGACCGCAATCTGCCCCTCTTGCACTTTATTCACCTAGTTCTATTTATAAAGACACATAATTTAAACTTTATTAACTCTTACTACTTCCGGTTCTTAATACAAGACCTTGTTTGGCTTTTATTTTGATCCTAAATATAAGATATCAATCCATTTTATCTCTTATATTTATATTTTTTTTCAAGGTAATTCTTCTAATAATAGTAGTTCTAACCAATACACATGATTAGCAAAGATATTTGAAGAAATACAATACTTATTTATTACAAATAACTAACTTAATTTCTGTCTTTAATCTCCTCAAATTAGTCAACTAGCTCTTATAATTAGGATCGGAGGTAATATTTAAAATTCAATAACTTTTCAACTTTATTTCTATTTAATCTATATTATATCTCATGTAAATAAAAGTTAATATAATAATAAATTAAAGGTAAAATTAATACATTCATATAAAAATTTATCTTGGTATCCTATAAATAGGACCAAAAAATATATTCTTCTTTATCTTATAAATAGAACCAGACGAATACTATATCTTATATTTAGCCAACTAGTTTTTATATTTAAAACCGGAGGTAGTGATTAGGAATGAGCTTGGATTTTTGTGGTCTTAGTTCCTTAGGCTTGTAAACTTCTTTTCTTTTGGGCTATTGATTCTGCACTTTTTTGTTTCTAATGAAAATACTTTTCTTCTCCGCCAAATAAATAAAAATTCCACCAAGAAAAGTGTGTCTTCCATCCTGGAATGTCTGACTAGCTAAGAGAGGGATTTATCATGGAGAGGAAAATGTTGCAGAATTTAGGTGTAATTTGGTCCCCCCTCCCCAACCCAAAAAAAAAAAAAAAATCCACCGTCTTTTGTGAGATGCATGCGTCATGGATGAGTGGTAAAGGCAAATTCAAAAAAATTGAAGAGATATGAAACGAACGGTGCAACTTATTATGCTTAGATCGATATTGGTTGGGAAAATTAATCCTTTTTTCTCTATAATGTTATACTCGATTGTAATATAGTTTTTAAATTTTGAATTAATATAATTCAATTCTTATACTTTGAACTTGGCTACAACTCAATATAACTTTGTCTTCATAATTTTAATCATTAATAACTCAATTCTTATCATTTTAATTATTTAAAATATTTATTCTTATATATTTTGAAAAATAAAAATAAAAATTTCATAGAGTTTAAGGATTAAAATTTTAAGAATTAGAATTATGGATCAGAGCTGAGTTTCAAGAAAAAACTATTTTCAAGGAAGTGAAAATTATAAGAAAAAATATTCAGAGACCGCGACCTCTGACCGAGTCAACTACAGTTAATTAAACACATTAAGAAAATTCAAAGGCAAAACTTGCGCACATTACCAACCGACAAAATACAATGACCCTACGTCAACATCGGCCCCTGGCATAAAAAGCAAAAATTACATTAAGGTTCACTAAAAAAAAATTGAATTAAAAAAAATCTATTAAAATCATCAAATTAATTTGAATTCTTAAGAACCTAATTACAACATATTTCACTTGTTCAGTTATTGAGTGGCCCTCATCTTTTTTTTATTTTAAATATATGTACTGACAAGTGACAACTAAAAAATTAATTGTTAACAATTTAAGGTGCAAAGATTAAACAACCATAACTGTCACATTGAATTTGTTTTAGGGACTTGTCTGCATTTAATTCTCTTATATGAGATCTTAACGCAATTTCCCAATGAAAAATCTGATCTCATCCGCGCGCTAAGGTAGATAACCAAAGGTGCGGCCCGACATGTCGGTGTTATAAATTCATTGGGTTACACGGCATTTTCCTTCTGCGCTGCCTCCCGTCTACAGCTAAGCTTATTCGACTGCCTCTACAATGGAAATGCCCTCTTCATTGATCTCGGGTAACTAAACTTACATCCAGCGATATTTTGCAGGAGATTCATCCCCCCCCCCCCCCAAAAAAAATCTGTATGAAATCATTTCTGTTTCAGTTGAACAATTTACAAGCGATTCATCAGCAACAAATTACTGTTTCACTTCTTCCTCTATCTCATGATGTTTTATGATTTAATCTGGTCTAGTTTTAAGTTATCCCTATGTTTTTTGCCTCGTCTCTTCAGGTTTTTCGTCAGCCTTGCATTTTGCTTCTCCATCTTTGCATTTTCCTCTTCATCTGGGGTAATATTACTGTATCTGATGTCTCATATCAACCTGTGCTTGTATCAACCGGATTTTCTAAGAATTAAATTCTCTAGCCATCAAGGCCAGTTTCGTATTTTTTGATGATATATATAATGTCCAAGGTACGTACATCACCGCACCCTCTCTCTTTCTCCCTCTAGATTCTTCCCTTGCTCTTGTTATTTTCCCTTTTTCTGCATGTATCTTCCTGACTTCCTCCTCTCTCTCTGAGTTATCGAGGCTGTGACGATGGAAGACCTTTTGGTGGTTTGAACATCAAACGGAACCTGAATAGAACCATGTAAATTATGAGTAAATAATGAGCAAGTGAATCAGGGGCTGTTTGTGAAAATATATAGTAGTAGTTACTCGCTACTATGGTATGCTCATTTGCTGCTCAGTTGTTATTATTTGTTATGCTGTTATAGTCATTTGTAATTAAACTTTATAGTTGAATGAATAAGTTTTTTGTGAAAATAATAATCACTTGTTCAGATGGTATGGTCATCTGTTAGTCAGTTATTATTCGCTGAGTTGTTAATAATTATAGGCATTTCATATGTGTCAATGTTTGATACTCCTCTTTTTTTTATTATAAGATCTAATTTTTTGAATTAGTTTATTCCTATTTATAAGATCTCCTTTGAATTTGTCTAAACAATAAATACATTTTTATCCACTTTACCCTTAATTAATATACCCTATCTTATCATCTTTTTTCCATACATTCTCTCGCAATTTTTTCGCACTCATGCCTACCCATTGATAATAACTAAAGGTGTATTTGAGGGGGAAAAAATATATTTCTAACATTTTTATTATTTTTAACTAATTTTAACAGTTTTTTTTAAATTACATAATATAATTAAGTGGATGTTATAATAAAGGATGGAGGAGTATTTTTTTTTTTTTTGGTTGCCACAAAGTTTGATAGTTGTCGTATATTACTTCAAACTACTAGGTACGTAACTCTAATGTCTTAGCTGTAGGGGCATAAAAAAGCTTTAGTGGCTCTGGGCTTGGGTATCCTTTTCTTTTTTTGACCAGCCGCTTGGGTATCCTTTTCGGACTTTGACCAACATATGAAATTAAAAGTGGTCTTCAGCCCCAAAAACAAAAAAAAATTTATGTAAAAGTTTAGGTATTACAAAATGCTTCTCTCTTTTTATTGTGTCGCGTTCCCACATTGCGGGCCCTCTCCCCTGTTACATGGTAATTTCCTATATTTTTATTTTTGACTTTTTTTACAAGAATTTTTTGTTATTTCTTATTTGAGGTCCCGTGTTTTCCCCATTTATTCATCTTCTACCCTTTGTAATAAATTTACTCCTTTGTTCCATTTTTGTCCTGGATAATAATTTTTGAACAAAAGTGTACTGCTCAACCTTTTTCATATTTACAAAATAATAGATTATAAGATATAACAAGTTGTTATAACAAGTTTTTTGTGAGCATAATACTTCATGAAATAATAAATTATTATTTCTAACTTTAATATGCATAGAATGATAAATTCTAACATAATTTGTGGGGGAATAAAACAAGTTGTTATTTATGAAATAAAATAAATTACTTGTGGTTAATTACAAATGTTATAAAATTCTAAAATAATCTTATAAAAAAATCTAAAAACAAACGAATTGTTGCTTGTTTCTATTTTACAAATACTAAAAAAATTGACAAGGAATTAAAAATATAGTTATTTATACATTCATTATTATAGTTCTTTACTTTTAATTAATTATAAAATTCTATTTTATATCTTCTAAGTATTATTATTTATTGTAAGCTAAGGTTACTGAGTCCTCATTCATTTCCAATTACCTTTTTCTTTTTTCTTTTTTTAAATCCAACTCATTAAAATATCTCGTGTCCTCCTGTCCCCTTAATGCCCCGTACGTGCATGGCATGACAGGCTGTGAAGTATAGTTTCTATTGAATAAATGTAGATGATATAATTCAGGTTCGGCAATAACTGACAAGCAACCAGCTTGTTCCTATATATCGCATCCTATCTGAGCTAATTTGTAGTACGAATTGTGCTACGTATAAACTAGTTCTTATAATTAAGATCAGAGATAATACGGTGATATTTATAATTCAGGTTTACTGTTAAGCCATGTTTTGGGGGATAAAGAGGGACACCATCAAAGTGCAGGGAAAGCTGCTATGCTCAAAGTTGCGGAGGCACATACGCAGCAGAAGCTTAATTATGCTATGGTAAGCTTGGCTTGTTATAATAATTTGCTATTTTAGTAAATAGTCTCTTAGATTATTAATCCCTTCCAATTGCTTGTAAGTAAGCTTAGGATGATTCAAAAATAAAGGGATGGAATGGACTTTCACACACACACACAGAGATGCAATGCACAGTGTATATAATTTTTCTTTTGATGGGGAAGTTCTGGGAAATTTAGGCGGCAGCCTCCAACGAAGCCACACGCATTGAACACGGAAATGGGCAGCATATTACGCGCCTAGGGTTTTGGTGTTAAGTCGCCTAGATTTAATTTGAATGGCTGATATTGATTTTTATTTTTCATTTTTATTCTTTTAAAAAGTTATTTTAATATTTAGAGCATTTAAAATGCAAATAATCTCTCAATGGTCATTTTTAAAAAAATTTATTTCAAAATTATTATTTCAAAATTTTAAATTCAGATAGTTGAAATTTTATTTGAATGATACAAGCCTTCTTGTAGCGACGAGTAGGGGCGTTCAATTTGTCCTGTTCCGTTGAGTTTGCCCTAGTCCCGATCACTGTGGAATGGGACCGGACCGGACCGGACGGGACACATGACGGGATTGTCCCTCCTAGGAAATGGAATAATTAAAAAAATTTGCAAACATAATAAAAAAAAATACTAGAAGCCCAATAAACTTGTCCAGTAATTTCAGAGGGCCAAAGCGAAGTTGTCCATTTTTTTTTCCTAACCAATAGTGTTAGGCCCAAAAAAAGAAACAGGGAGAAATTTTTAATCATTTTTTGTTCAGGCCCCAAAAAAAATCATAAATTGTTAGGTTCAAAACTGAATTTGGAAAGGAGAAAAAAAAAGGGAGACGGGAGTCTTGTCCCATCCCGTAAATACCCCTAGCAATGAGTGTTAAAAAACCATCTCTATACAAAACATTAATTACAATAAAGACGATAAAATTTTAATATTTTTTTTAAAAATATCATGGTTTAAGAAAATATTAAAAATGTCACGGTATAGTTAAAATTATTTTTTATCTAAACTTTTCAATACTTATATTTAATATTATTAGTATTTAATTTTTTTGCAATGATTTTCGAAGAAGGTCGCGGGAAATTAGAGGTCCTTTTTTGGGCTTATAACATGTAGGTCTCGCGTCATTGCCCCTTAAGTTCGTCCCAATTTCGCATGCGTATATTTGTTTCGTACCACACAAGAAAAGGCTTCGTCCTCCTTTTAAAATGCAAATAGGAGCCAAGAAAAAAATTCATAACCCTAACTAATTCTTCAGTAGAACAATGAAGCTCGTCAGCTCGATCCGAGATACTTTGGTCCTCGGCAAGAATGCCGTCTCGATCTTGGGTAAAATTATCTTCTTATCTTCATATCAGCATATATGGTCTTAGCTTGCTTGAGCTAGATCTTGCAGGTTCGGAGAGCAAACTCCCTCGCCGGCCGTCAACTGATTTCTTCTTTTTGGGTGTTTGGATGCTTCTTATTAAAATCATGATTTGGAGGAAAAACCACATGGTTTTGGGAAAAACCATCCAAATACCTCATAAAATCCAACATTTGATGCCAAAACTATGATTTCCGGGCTAAAACCCTAGTTTTGATGAAGCCAATGTTTTCTACTTTTTGGATGGCAAATCAGGGTCATGCATTGATGCATACATATTAATTATAAATTAATTATATAAATAATACTCTCTCCTGTCTCCTTTATAAGTTTCAAATTTGAGGAGGGACATGGTCTATTTTATAGGCTTTAATTTGAGTTTGTCCCAACATTTAATATGTTTTTTTTTTCCTGTAATTATTTCTTCTTTCTCCTTTGCCATTCTCTCATTATATTTTCATTATATTTTCCCATACATCCTCTTTCATCCTTTTTCTTATTTATTATAAAAGTATATTTTTAAAAAAAGTATATTTATTGCTTATCTATTGCTTTTTAACTATTCTTAATTAATTTTTTCATTATACGCAAATAAATTATTTGAAGCTTATAATAAAGATGGGAGCGAGGATGCATTTGTCATTTATATCTTTTTTAGTAATTTGCATATGGAAAAAGAAATCATGATAAAATCACATTTTCACGAAATTATTCTACTCAAAATCTATTCTCTAAAATCACTTTTGTCACTTTTTCCAAAAGTTGTTCTCCAAAAATTAATCCAAATACCCTCTTAATCTTAATCCGCATAAAATAATTAACTTGCATAGAAAATATTTTGGAGTGATTCAACATTAACTAATTAACTAACATCTTCCTTTTATGATATTTGATAATTCAGGCTTAGTTGTCAGCTCTGCACTTGTAGGGCAGGGAGTGGTGGACGTTTTGGCAGACTTTCTTGGAGATAAAAACTATCCCTTTTGGAAAGCAACTATGCTTGTGAATTTTCTAGATGGATTATCGGCTGTGTTAACACTTGCTGTGATACACGTATCAGAGGCTTACACAGGTCGCTTCAAGGCCATTATCTTCTGCACCACAGCCTATACTATGGTTAGTTATCATAACTTCATAACCTTGCTTGCTAGCAACTTTAAAGATATAAACTCATGGTAAGGCCGTTTCGAGGAAAGCTTCCATTTTATGAAAGAAAGAATTTATACATTTAGCGAAAATTAACCTTTGAATGACCTTCCCCCAGTATTTTATCTTGATATTTTGTGCACTGTTATATTGCAAGGTTTTCTTGAAACCCTAATAATGGATGCGGCAAAAGGTTAAGTCAAACGCACTGGAAAGGAAAGCATATGTGTCTGTCCACACACACACAGAGATAATCAATCCTTCCCTTCGAACAAGAACTCTATTGGAAATTTTTATATTTGGATATCTTTTGCCATGGCTACAATTACATGTAAACTATAATGCTTAAAACACGATATACTCGTGACAAAAGGAGACAAGAAATGAATATACGATAGGTTTCTTTGCTTTCTTTCGTCTCCGTTGGCGTTTTCGCATGAAGTAATCATGCTCTTTTTTTCTCTTCTGAAGCATTGCTATATGAATTGGTTGGGTGTTTGATGCTTTTAAACTCATGGGTATTCATTTTTTTAACTCTTGAGACAACTGTTTTACAATGTAATTGAGTTTTGTTTAGTATATATACTGTTATCCCACAAGCTATTAAAAGCGAATTTTGGATCCAATGATATGAAGACCGATTTTGGTTGTTATTTTTCTTGGAGTACATAGTTAATATTTTGATTTGATGATGCTCAAGATACTTGTTTGAGCTATTGTCTTGTATATATTATTCGGAGGTTTCGAATGGGAATACCTTATATTTAAGGGAAAATTTCGCCAAAAATTTTGAATCAAGTCAACCCTTTAAGTTTTGAATTAATCATCTGAATCAAATTAATCAATATTTGATTCAAATAGAACTGAGCTTTGGAGTTTGATAGGCTTAAGAGTGTTTGATTTAGGGAACAATAAAATGGAATGGGTTTTGCAAATTTTGAATATAATACTATTGAGTTTTGTTTTGTATTGTTTGTTAGTTTTTTTTTTTTCGGAATAGAAAATTAATCGTTTGAACAGTTGGCTTATGTAAGTTGTTGTCAAAGTTTGAATGAGATACCTTATATTTAAGGGAAAATTTGTAAAAAAAAAAAAAGAATTAAATTAAGGCAACCCTTTATCTTTAAGTTTTTGATTAAGCGTTAGTAAATCGAATGACTAACACTTAATAATTTGAATCAAATAAAACAATACTTGATTCAAATAGATATTTATTTTGATTTAGGCAACAAAAAAAGGGTCTAGAAATTAGTTGACTTTGCTTGTTTGGCAACGTAAAGTCTATTGTTTTCTTTGGTATTGTTTAAAATAAATGTTCGAGCTATTGGCGTGGGTAAATGGTTGTCAAATTCTTAATGGAGTGTCTTGTGTTTTAAAGAAAACTCTGTCAAAATTCTCATTAGTGGATATATTTGCAATAAGAAAAATGTTTAATTAAAAAAGAGAGAAAATGACACAAAAATGACACTTGAACTTAGAAATACCAAAATGGTCACTTGAATTTGCAAAATCCCAATTTAGTCACAAGTGACCAATTTGACATTTGCAAATCTGCTGAAATGACCATATTGCCTTTTGTTTTATTTATTTTTTTTAAAAAACCAAAAGCCCCCACTGGCTGGCTAGTCGCCGGAACTCCGGTGCCGGGAACGGCCAGTCGACAATTGGTCGCTGGAGCTCCAGTAGCCGGTAACAATTTTTTTGAAAATTTGTCACTTTAGTATAACGCTTAACAATTTTTGTAATGTTATAAACAAGTTTAGTATAGCAGTTAATACTATGTTTTCTAGAAAATTTAAAAAGTAGTATTTTTACAATTTCAGTAATGCTATTAACAAGTTCCATAACTCTATTAACAACTTCGGTATAGTATTTAACAATAAGTTTTCTTAAAAATTGAAAAAAATTGACATTTTTACAACTTTATCAACTCCTTTTTTTCAAAAATTTTCTTACAACTTTAGTAAAACGATTAACAAGTTTTGTAACGCCATTAGCAACTTTAGTATAGCAGTTACCAACGGGTTTTTCAAAAAATTTCAAAAAGTAGCATTTTTACAATTTCAGTAATGCAGTTAACAAGTTCCATAACTCTATTAACAACTTCGTATAGCATTTAACAATTGGTTTTTTTTAAAAAAATTCAAAAAAATGGCATTTTTATAATTTTAGCAACTACTTTTTTTTTTGAAAATTTTTTACAACTTCGGTAAAACGGTTAACAAGGTTTGTAATATTATTAACAACTTCAGTATAGCAATTAACAATAAGTTTTCTAGTAAATTCAAAAAGTAGCATTTTGCAACTTTAGTAATGTTGTTAACAAGTTCAGTATAGCATTTAACAATAGGTTTTCTGAAGAATTTAAGAAGTAGTATTTTTACAACTTTAGCAACTACTTTAGTAAAGATTGATGTTTTTAATATTTGCTCCCTATGAAAGTTGTACAACAAAAAAAAATAGTTGCTAAAGTTGTAAAAATACCATTTTTTTGAATTTTTGAGAAAATCTATTGCTAAATGCTATACCAAAGTTGTTAATAGAGTTACAGAACTTATTAATGGCATTATTGAAGTTGTAAAAATGCTACTTTTTGAATTTTCTGGAAAAACCTATTGTTAACTGCTATACTGAAGTTGTTAATAGCATTATAAAAGTTGTTAATCATTATACTGAAGACGTAAAAATTTTCAAAAAAAAAAAAGTTACTAAAGTTGTAAAAATGCAATTTTTTTTGAAGTTTTAAGAAAACCTGTTATTAAATGCCTATACCGAAGTTGTCAATAGAGTTACAGAACTTGTTAACATTATTACTGAAGTTATAAAAATACTACTTTTTGAATTTTCTGGAAAATATATTGTTAACTGCTATACTGAAGTTGTTAATCGCGTTACAAAACTTGTTAATTGTTTTACTGAAGTTGTAAAAATTAAAAAAAAATGTAGTTGCTAAAATTGTAAAAATGCCTCTTTTTTTTTTCAATTTTTAAGAAAACTTGTTTTTAATGTTATACCAAAGTTGTTAATAGAGTTACAGAACTTGTTAACGGCATTACTAAAGTTGTAAAAATGCTACTTTTTGAATTTTCTGAAAAAACCTGTTGTTAACTACTATATTGAACTTGTTAATAGCGTTACAAAAGTTGTTAACTATTATACTGAAATTGTAAAAAATTTTAAAAAAATTGTTGCTAGCTGCCGAAGCTCCAGCGACCAATTGTTGGCCGGCTGCCGAAGCTCCATTGACAACAGTGGCGGCCGGCACCGGAGCTCCGGTGACCAGCCAGCCATTGGGGCTTTCAGTTTTTTAAAAGACAATAAATAAAATGAAGGGCAATATTGTTATCTTAGCAAATTTATAAATGTCAAATTGGTCACTTGTGACTAAATTGGGCTTTTACAAATTCAAGTGACCGTTTTGGTATTTCCACGTTCAAATATTATTTTTGTGTTATTTTCCTGAAAAAATAATACGTTAAAAAATTACAGTTTCTATGTGGATTATTAAAACAACTAACATAGAATATTATATCCATGAGCCAGATAACCCAGTGACATAACAATCCATGACGGTTACCTGAATAACCAACGTACTAAGAAAATGTTCCATGACAGCTATTTGTTTAAACCATCGTAGAATATTATACTCTACATCGCCATTAATCTTTGTATACGCGTCATTCATATAACTGTTGTTAAAATACCGGAAGGGAAGAAGAGAAAAGGATCAGAAGGGAGGAGAAGAAGTTCCAAACCGGTCAAAATACCTCCATGGCTGACGTTAATTGCTACTTTTGTGGTAGTGATCTAACCCATTTTTTCTCGTTTAAGTATAGAGTCACTCTGAATTAATATATCCAAATACTCATTATTTGTATAAATCAGAAACATCAATCTATATTGAAAATCAAATTTTATCTGGAAATTTATAAATATTTCTTCTTGACACTAAAAATATTTCAAACAACTGATACGTTTGCTTATTATCAGTTAATCATCTTGAAATTCAATATTAAACAATGATGAGGTGTTTTGGAGGCGCATGGTGTTTAAACTGATTATTAGCGATCATCCACTTTTATGAAGCATTTATTAAAAGAGTACCAAAATAAAATTAGAACTTTAAAAGATCAAATAAATTAAGGTATTTTGTATTTTTAATTGCAGGGGTTGGTGTTACTGTGGATTCGCGCATCGCATCTGGATACCGTTTCTTTGATTTTCGCAATAGTACTCATTGCATTAGGCACCGCTGGAAAAGAGCCAACTTTAAGAGATTTTTTTGATTATCAACTGAGGGAAAAATTAAAGAAAAATTGTACTGAAAAGAACGAAGGAGAAGATATGGAATCATCACAAGAGAAAGCAAGATCAGATACAGGTGACAACCGAACCACTAATCTTTGGTGGTCTGCTGCTTCCATTATCGGCTCCGGCATAGCTGTCATGTGTCTGGGCTCAGTTTCTTGGTCTAAAACTTTTGAAGTTTCGTCGCTCATCATGGGAGCAACGTGTTTACTATTTATCTTGGGAATTTTCTGGTATTATCCTGAAGAAAAACCCCCAGGAAGCCCTCTCACTGCCATTTATAGGGTCTTTAGGGCGGCTATTAAGAAGCGCAAATTGTCATACCCTTCTTCAGAACAGGGTTATAACAATGAAGGTTCAAAAGATTCAGAAGATTCCTTGTACGAGAGAGAAAATGATAAGGTTCTCTTGTTGCCTCGTGATCCCTCATTTTTGTCGTTCTTGGACAAGGCCGCTATTAAGAACGCAAATGAAGAACAGGCTTGTACGGCTGAGCAAGTGAGGGATGTCAAGAGCCTTTATGCCATCATGCCCTTGGGGCTCATATTCTCCATGTACATTGTGGTCTCTGCCTCAGGAAACACATACTTTATTCTGCAAACAAGCAACTTGGATTCTCGTGTTGGCAGTTTAAACTTTCCTACCATGGTTTTCTTCGTACTCAGATCTTTGATTGCTTTTGGGGTTCGAACAATCCAATCAAGATATAAATTGAAGAGCCCACTTTGCAGTATGGCTGTTGGAATGTTTTGTTCAGGACTTTGCTGTATTGCGGCTTGGCAAGTGGAACGTCGTAGGCTGTCTCTAGTTAAGTTTCTGGAAAAACCAGATGACGACATTCCCATGAGCATCATGATTTTAATTCCACAGTATTTTCTGCTAGGGCTAATGAAAGAATTTGGAGAAGGCGGACTACAGACTTTCTTGCGTGACCGGGTGCATTCTGAGCCAATGAAAAAATTTGTGGGTCCGTGCATTGAAATGTTGATGGGCATTGGGAAATGGTTCAGCATTCTACTTGCATTGATATTTCATAGGTGGATCAAGGATTCGATAAACCACAGTCGTCTGGATAAGTATTTTCTGGTGTTGGCATTACTAAGCTTCGTGTATCTTGGGATTTATGTATTGTATGCCAAGTTCAAGCTCCAGAAGCCCCTCGTAATTCCAGAAACTAGCGAAGGGATTAATGTTGTGTGTTATCAGCTCAGCTGCGAAGTAAACTCAGTGTAAGTTTCTATTTGTCAAATAGCTGCCCATCGTTCATTCTTTAATCACGTTGTTTTTGTTAGAGAATTAAGATTATGTTTAGCAATATATCTTGTACAGCTGTATTGGTAGATTCCCTTTGTATACGTGTCCGGTTTATAGGCATTCTGTTGTACCTGCACAGCTTTGTAATCTTCTAGAACATTGTATTGTACACTATTAATACCACGAGTTCGAGCATTATGATCAGTGCCTCAGATTATATTCAATATTCCTCCCTTTCTGTGTTGGTACCGGGCGGACAAATATATTGATAATTAATTAATCATATATTTGTCAGTTTGCTTTATTACTAGCCAGCTGGCATTATGGTTGTACTCTTCTGGATATATTTATAAATCACTTTCAACGTCTTTCACACAGACCAAGAAAAATCTTAAATTTCATTAATTTTAATTTAAAATTAAATTTTTTTAATTTTATCCCTATTTAATATACACTATTCTTCAAACAAATAAAGTCAACATAAATAAAAAATAAAATTGTACATCTATATAAAAAATTTATTTTAGTGTCTTGTAAATTGGATAAAAAAAATATCTTTATCTCTGCCCTATAAATATAGGAGCAGAGGAGTAATTTACTAGCCGAGCTTTGCTGCTGCTCGACCTGACACTTGGGCTCCCGATGGATTCTCCACTTGGCGTAAGGTGAATCATCAGTGGTAATTTTCCCTTTTTAATATATTTAAAGTATCCTTTAGGCGTATTTAAAGAGCTAATCTACGTATTTACAAGAGCTAATCAATTTGTTCATTATTTGGGAAATTATAATGCAAGTATTATAGTTTTAAAACTAGTGAAATTTAGGTTAGAAATAATTTCAAGTACTAAAAAGATGCTTATTTATTTTATTTCATTTCAATTTTCTACTGTATTTCTTTTCTTTTTCTTTTTTCTATTTTTAATTTTCTTCTCCATTCTGCAGCCTACGACAACATTTTCTGGGGCTTTTCGGAGACCTTGCTCAGCCACGAGTTCGAAGATTTGCAGAGGGGAGGCCGACACTGTTCAGAATCCCAGTTCTGGACCCTAAGTGCACCAGACATGCCATGTATTACCCAGTTCTACATATATTAAGAACGAGAGATAGTATATAATAAGTGGTCTGGAATTGTTTCCTACTTCTCTCACAAGAATAATGCTGAATTATTATTTGATTAGGTTTCCCGTTTATCTAATCTAATCAAATAGTCAGACCCATCAAAAAGGGCAGATCTGGAGCCTCCAACTGACATTCCACACATTACCCTCTAGCTAGTTTTAAATATATGAATATAAGAAACTCCAATTTACTTAGCTCTCCAAATGTATAATTTTTCGCTCAATATCCCTATTTATTACACTTGATTATCGAGGAGTTGCAATGCACATGATTAAAGATTAAAGATGATTTTTTAAAAAGCCCAAAACATATTTGTTAAGTAATAATTTTCTTAATATCTTCAAAGTAATTATTTAGTTTTTATATTAAAAATGAGAGGTAGCATTATGTTTTTTTTTTTTTTTAACAAATTGCAAATGAGGATGCCCAAGAATAGGAACACGGGGGAAAAGGGAGGGGGAGGGGCGGGTGGTTGATGGGATGCTAAAGGGAATGGGTGGCCAGCTGCTTTATAAAGAAATGACTCAGCACGACTCCCAGAACCAACACACAAAACAAAAAACCACATATGTATTACCACTTTTGTTTTGTTAAATGACATAATATTAAAAAATAGACCTCTTTTCGTTAATAATTTTTTATATAAATTTGAAAATAATTTTGAGAACTTAACTATATGAAAAATAATTTATAAATAATAAAAATTGTAAATTTTAATAAAAAATTCAATTGAAAGCATACTGATGTTCAGTCATACCTGAGAGCCACCAGAACAGAGCTCCAAATCTTCCGCTCCGTTTGGCAAATGCTTGATGTGCGTTTGTTGTTGTGGGAGTTTGGAAGAGTTGAGCCGAGAGAGACGGATCTATCGCTGACGAAGATCCTGCACATTTTTAAGTGTAACTTGGTCCCAATACACAAAACACATATTCAAAAACTGAAGAGAGATAAAATGTGCAGTATTATTCCTTTTGTTTAGATTTCGGCAGTAAAAGGGGAAAAAAACAGTGCAGTCTTAGGAAAACTCCAGGAAAGTTTCCTTACTTTAATTTGCATGTGAAGTACAGGAGATGAATGAACGATGAATCACTTAGCGAGGACGGTGTTTCAGATTTTAGGAGTATTTTGGCGTCAAAACACCTGGAAAGGGGTCATGGGTTTGGATTAAGATTAAACGCGCAAATAAATAATGGAGTGGTGTGGTGTAACTTTAACTTTATATTCCTAAAGAAGGAAAAAAGTAATGAAGATAGCTAAAAAGTTGAGGCAAAAGTTGCCATATTTTGTCGCATATATATACTCGGATTGACCTTGGAAAAACGGCGGCCGACACGTTCAATTATATCGAAACAGACAAGCTCCCGTCTTGTTAGTTGCATGATTGCTATAGTCAAATCAAAATTCCAAAACATGAAGTTGGTCGTATGAAGTCCATATTCGTGCACAGTGAAGCTATGAGCTTCATGCATCTCGTGAAGAAGCTTCGTCTCCACCTCTTTCCTCCTTCCCCTGTTCATATTTACTGAACTTGAGACACGTTACATTATAAGACATACATATAAGCGCCCATGCATGCACATTTTTGCTTGTTATTTTTGTTTGTACAAATATATGCACGCGCACGCGCTTCCCACATTGAAAGACCAAAGCTTCAATTCGTCTCTATAGTTCTTTCCTCCTGTGACTTCCTAGCTCTTTCAATAATAACCTAAGCAAATAGGAAATGACAGTTTGTAAGATTTGTTTTGTAATTTTCTTTTTCAGAAGACCTCATTGTAATTCTGGAAAAAAAAAAAAAAGTAGATAGCTAAAATGTCAAAGCAAAAGTTGCCATATTTTATCACAGACACACGCATGAAGACATGCATACTCGCATTGACCTTGCTAAAACGGCCGCCAACACGTTCAATTATATGGAAACGTACAAGCCCCCGTCTCGTTAGTTGCATGATACTTTTGCCATAGCCAAGTCAAAATAGCAAAACATGAAGTTGGTATTATAAAGTCCATGTTCATGCACCGTGAAGCTACAAGCTCAGCTTCATGCATCGTAAAGAAGCTTCGTCTCCACCCCTTTCCTCCCTCTCTTTTCATACCTACTGAACTCCAGACACGTGAATTATAACACACATATATAAGCGCCCATGCATGCACGTTTTTGCTTGTTATTTTTGTTTGTACAAATATGTGTGTGCGCGCGCTCTTCCCCCACTGAAAGGCCTAAGCTTCAATTCGTCTCTATAGCTCTTTCCTCCTGTGACTTCCTACTCGTCTGTTCATAGTTACTACGACGATGATGATCATCACAACTCTCCTGCGAATGCTCCGCACTGGTTTTGTCCTCTCCAAGACTGTCATCTTCATCTGGGGTAGCATCAATTTCTCTGTCTCCAGATCAAACTCTCTCGCCATTAGTTAACTTCTTTTCTTTTTTAATTTGCTTTCGCTCCACACCCACTTCTTTAATGGTATATTTCTAATATTCAGGTTTAGTTCTCAGCCATGCATTGGTAAACAGTGGGGTGGTGGACGTTTTCGCGGATTTCCTCGGATATGATGGCTATAATGTATGGAAAGCGACTATGCTTGTGAGTTTTTTAGGTGGATTATGGGCTGTGCTAAAAGTTGCTGTCATACACGTATCAGAGGCTTACATAGGTCGCTTCAGGGCCATTATCTTCTGCACGGCAGCCTTTACTATGGTTAGTTAGTTATCCTAAACTCACGTGAGCTAGCTGGATTAACTAAATTACTTAATTTTCTATGTGATAAAAATATTAAATAAATAACTATTTGGAAAAATGCAAAAAAAAATCAAGAAAAAAAAACTTTAAATTCTTCAAAAAATTTTAGCCAAAATTTAGGAATTTAGTATTATGAAGGATAAATTGGTAAATAAAAATTATTTTAATATAAATTTTAATTTAAAAAAGGTATCTTTTTAGAATTTGCTTAACGAAGTCAACAATTTAGACTTAAGTGTATTTTTTAAAATAGAAAAGAGATCCGTGTAATTGGGACAAAATGCAAGGGATGTGAGAATATTTTACTCCAAAATTTAAAATTCAAAAGATGAAATGAAACAAGCTATTATTTTTTATTGCAGGGGTTGGTGCCACTATGGATTCGCGCATCACATCCTGATATCGTTACTTTGGTTTTCGCATCACATCCGGATATCGTTACTTTGGTTTTCGCAATAGTACTCATTGCCTTAGGCACGGCCGGAAAAGAGCCAACTTTAAGAGATTTTTTTTATTATCAACTGAGGGAAAAAGTAAAGAAAAATTGTACTGAAAAGAACGAAGGAGAAGATAAGGAATCATCACAAGGGAAGGAAAGATCAGGTAAAAATGACAGCATATCTACTAATCTTTGGTGGTCTACTGCTTCCATTATCGGTTCCGTTATAGCTTCCTTCTTCTTAAACTCAGATCATTGGGGGAAAATTTTTGAAATTTCGTCTATTGTTATGGGAGCCACGTGTTTAGTGTTTATCATCGGCATTTTCTGCTATTATCCTGAAGAAAAACCATCAGAAAGCCCTCTCACTATCCTTTATAGGGTCTTTAAAGCAGCCATTAAGAATCGCAGACTGTCATACCCATCTTCAAAACAGGATTATAACAATGAAGATTCAGACGATGCTTCATCAGAAGATTTCTTTTATCGGACGGAAAATGGTGAGGTTCACTTGTTGCCACGTCATCCATCGTTTTTGTGGTTCTTAGACAGGGCTGCTATGATGAACAACTCCGATGGTGAAGAGAAAGTAGGAAAAGAAGAGGTTTGCACAGTCGTGCAAGTGAGAGACGTCAAGAACTTTTATCTTATTATTCCCTTGGGAATCACCCTCTTCG